TGTACTCTTAGGCTTGCGACTGTCTTGTTGTGGTTGGTCTCTTCTTTTGAGAATTGTTTCTTTTTGTCCAAAAATGCTGGCCTTATTAGTTCTGCTCCCACAGAAGCTAATTCATCAGTGCAGTTGAAACCTTTGTCTGCCATAACTTTATCATGTGGTAGTAGTTTGCCCAAAAATCCACTTTGAGCTGTKATCTCCTCGTCTGATGTTGAACCAGGAAATAGCTCACTAACAAAACACAAAGCACCACTGGGTGTGATGCCAAGCAAGGCCTTCATGGTCGTTCTGGACTYGTATGATGAATAGCAGGCAGATTGACAGTTAAGAGAAGATGGTTTCTCCATTTCAAACTCAGTACAGTCCACAATTACCACACAATCAGGGTAAAAAGACTTTAAAATGTCAGGCATGTACATTTTAATGACATCTCGTGGAGGTATGGTAATAAGTGGTTCAAACTCACTCCTCAAGAATCTAATCCAGGCATTAGTAACTTTAGATACTGTGGATCTTGACACATTAAAACGATGGGCAAGATCCTTCTCAAATAGTCCAAGTCTCAATCTCATTAATACTAATGTGAACTCTTGAAATTTGGTCAGACATCGAGGTCTTCCTACATTTCCACAACTGACCCTTTCATGTTCATATACAATGTTATTAGCAGAATCTTCAACCATCTTAAAACAAAGAAGCATTGCCTTGTAGTCAGGGAAACCCGTGTAAAAAGCAATGTCTTCATTTTTGTCTTTATATTTCTCAACATCAAATCGAATGTTTTGCAGAGAATATCTTAGTCTCTTTACTTCTTGTTCAAGCTTACAATTGGCCTGGAGCAGGGTTGTATTTTCATCGCTTAACTTCACATTTTCGTTTTGCAGCTTCTCCTTTTCTTCAGTCAGTTTAACAATGTCCTCTTTGTGTCTCTGTAAATCTTTCAGCAGCGGTTCAATGTCCAAGCTCGTAAGAGATGTTTGACTGGTCGTATTTGTTTGTGTTTCGATGGCAAGGACTTCGAACGTGTCGTTACGTTCGCCATCATGATCACGTCAGAGAAGCCTGACTTGAGTTTTCCTTTAGCAGCCTTCTCTGTCTCTTTTCTTCCTCGATTTCTTTAATTTTATCAAAACTGACTCTTTTAAGTTCTCTTCTTTTGATTTCTGGCTTTGTCCAGGGGAATATCGACGGCAAATGAGTGCGGCTTAGTTTCGCACCACCTTCAAAATGTTCTGAGCAGATCCRTGTACTTGTTGAGTTCAATTTSAGGCTATCATTCTTCAAAATAACTTTGTAGGATTTTCTAACAGCCTCATCTTTCGGTATCCTGTAGTAGTGTAAATGAGAAGCGCTTCTAAAGCTATTTGTACAGCCAGGAACACAGCAATTATAGTGAGACATCTCAACATTCCTATAACTGCTTTGTAAACATGGCGACTCTGTCCCTCCAAGCAATCCATAGATGCTTTGCGGTCGTAACTCGAACCCAGATCCCGGCTCGTTTAGAACATGGCGAATTGAGAATGCTCAAAACAGGTAAACTGTAACTGGTAAAGGATCTCAAGGTTATCAGTAGCTACTAAGTTGTTGAAACGTAAAATCTATCCACCCATAATACTTGTCACTCTAAGTTTTCAGGGTTTTTGCTTGGCCTTGTTGAAATAAGTGATAAAAAGAAAGTGGTTCTTATAGTTATTCACCATARGGATGATAATGAATCATAACATTCCATGAATAGGGGAACATATGTGTTGGGAGAATTCATGTCATTCTCTTATTTTTTTTAGATGGTACAAGCAAGATGGCTGACGGACTTGTCCATTACAGCTCTCTGAGTAATGTTGATGATTTCTCCACTGATGGTACCATTTGTCTCTACATATTCTATAAATCATCTACCTTTTTCTAATACATTAGTAGAAATCCGGTACAACATGGCAGCCAAGCATGCGCTTTGCTTTCCTGATGTGGACTTTAAATATATTTGAGGGATTGTTTTACAACAGACAAATGTATTAGAATTCCAGCATTAGTATATTTTATTCGGTTTTAATGAGAAAACCGCTATACTTTTCCAAGTTTCAAACGTCACGTTTTAAACAACACAACTTCACTAGTGYATAGCTAAATTTACAGACATTTTCAAATAAAAAATCCTGTTCGCTTTCTAATATAAATAATGTTACCTTTAACRGTTTGATTCCAATATATCTACCTAAAAATGTGTAACAAAGCCCAGAAACAGATCGTTCCTCCTGCTTGAAGATACATCCTTTCCTGTTTGCGAAAGTTGGATTCGAATATCCACCTATGGTCCTTCCTAAAAGTCCAAATAACTCCTCAAAATCTTCTAAAAACACCGTTCGCAATTGCTTTTGAAAATGACCAGTACCTTATGAGCCTATACAGCCAACAAAGATGAGAATCAGAGGCACAAAACGGCCAAAATCTCTTCATAATGTTAGCAACAATAAACGCTTGGTTCTCAGCCATTTTGTATCCCACAATTCCAAGCAATGGTGCTTAGTTACAAGCCAGTACGTCATACATCTAGCACTCACAGAGAAGGAATATTGCAAAATGTCTGATGTTTTTGGTAAAATTCAAGCTGAAGAGCTTGCGAAAAATCAAAGTTACCAAACCAAGTTTAGCGTATGCTGCTAAATCTTCATCCAGGGAAGTGATTTTTGCCTTAGAAATACCATATCCTCTTTGTAAGAGCTGGTACGAATTCGTACAAAATTTTTCGCATCAACTGGAAGTGGAAAAGCTAACCGGAAGTGAGAAAAAAGAATATGAAAAGGCCCTAAAATACCCATATGTGGCACTTTTGGAGCATAGTATTCCASAACAGCACTTCTGTTTTTCATCTGTTGATGATGTTAGAAAGGAAGTCAATGAAAATTTAAGAAAAATTTGCTCAAATGTTGTCCAAAAATGCAGGGCATCTAGAGGCATGGCCAGGATGAAACTAAACGACTGTGTAAAGAAATTTCATRTGTTCAAAGGACAGACAGAGCCAGTTAAAAAGATGAGAGATGAAATACAAAAATGGAAGGATGAATGCGTGAACCTAGAGGCCAGATGTTCTGACTTGTTGGTGGAACTACAGGCTGCCCTGAAGGAKTCAGAAAGGAAAGACAAAGTCATAGAAGACCTCCAGTGTACAAATCAAGAGCTTTCCAGTTACATTGAAACTCTTGAAAGGGCACAGGGTTTACATTACCAAGGGAAACTTCTCTCTGATGCCAAAAATAAGAACAGGACTATCAGAGAGTTTTTAAACCGAGCCAATGTTGCCCTCTGGTTTGCCAAGGCCTTTGGCATTGAGCTCACATCTTTGACAGTTAGAGAAACCCAGACGGGCCAGGAACATTACCTCACTAACTGCAGAGAAAGCACATCCACATCCATTCAGACTGAGGAAAGTGATGGGACAAGAACTCAATATGACAGGCTCTTGGAAGAAGAAAAGGGAAAGGTACAAGAGGTGCTTTTTCTTTTGGACAAGTACTGTGTTGGGGATAATTTTTACCATGAACTCTCAATGATTTCGAATGGGCTACCCAAGTCTTATCTCATCAAGCAATGTAGAGATAAGTATGATGATCTTTGCCACATTGAATCCCTTCCTGGTAACTACCAAGGATCAATGTGCTCATTTGCTGAGCTTCTAACCATTCATGCTAATGACTTTCTTGCAAATAATCCTAACTTTGACTTTGCTAATGAGCCACTTAAAATTAAAATTAATGGTGATGGGGCTAGGATGACAAGAAATTCTAACTTTATCTTTCTTACTTTTTCTATTTTACAAACAGGCGCTAATGTTATGTCAGCTAAGGGGAACAGAAACATTGCAGCTGTTAATGCCTCTGAATCATATATAACATTGAAAGAAGCCTTTGCTCCTACGTTTCAAGAGAKTAACAGCTTCACTGATTCTGGTACATTAACAATCAATGATAAGACAATTAAATTGGAGTTCTTTCTGGGAGGGGATTATAAATTTATTTTAYTGATGCTTGGATTAAAAGGTGCCACTGCAAACTATGCATGTGCCTGGTGTAAAATCCATAAGGATGATCGCTGGAAAACAGACAAAGATTTTAGTTATTTYAATAAGGAACCTATGAAAAGATCACTAAAAGAGTTGATTGAGCTTTCTAAAAATTCAAAAGATAATTATTGTTGTGAAGAAAAACCTCTACTTAAAATTGAGCTTGACCATGTGGTCGTAGATGAATTACACTTAATGTTGCGTATAAGTGATGTACTAACTAAGAACCTTGTTTACCAAGCAATTGACAGAGACAGAGTTGATGACTTTCAAAAGAAGAGGGGGGAGGGTAAAGGCATCCATCTAAAATATCTTATTTCTACCATACGGTCATTGGGCATTCCATTTGATGTTTGGGAACAGCTTAATGCAGATAGGTCATCAAGTGGGAAATATGAATTTACCAGTTTGACAGGGTCAAACAAAAAGATACTTCTTAGTCAATTGCCTGATAAATTACATGATTTACTGCCTGCTAAAAGCAGAGAGAAGATTATCAAACTTTGGGAAAATTTTAATTCATTATATACACAAATCAATAACATGGAGCTATACAATTCACCAGAGAGCATTGCAAATGAAGCTAAAGAGTGGATTGAATTGTTTTGCTCATGCCRTGATTTGGCAGATGGTTATGAAAGAGCTCGTGTAACACCTTATATGCATATTCTTTTTGCACATGTCCCTTTTTTCACTCAAAAATACAAAGCCATTAAAATATTCACTGGACAGGGAGTGGAGAAAAACAATGATGTTGCTAGATCTGTTCTCCACAGAAAGTCTAACAAATGGGATTCTGTTGGGGACATAATGAGACAGGAATTTAGGCAATGGGAATTGAGAAATAAGGAAAGGGAGAAAAGAAAATATGTTAAAAAAAGTACAGTTTACTGGGAAGGTGACATTTGTACCTCCAGGCAAAAAAGGAGGAAGACATACTATAGTGACTGAAGAGCAAGACTCTCCAGTCATAATAGAAACTGCAACAGTAGGGACTCCTGAAGTCATTGATCCCAAAACARTGACTGTGAATAAGCTGAAAGAGCAGCTCAAGGCTAGAGGTGTTAAATTTCTAAGTAACAAAAAAAAATCTGAGCTAATAGAGCTTCTTCAAAATAGTTTGAAAGAATAGTTTAAAACAATTAAGTGTATGAGTATACATCTTTGAATAGAGTGATTTTGTAAAACATGTGAATACTTAGAATGGAAATAAACCACAAATCAATGAAAAGATAGAAGTCAGAGTAAAGAAATGCTAAAATGCATTCACAGGCTTATAAAAACACTCTATAGATGTCTATTGACTATTTAAAATTATAA